CTCAGGGGACTGACTGCACTGAGGTAACACATGCCGTGTTGCAGGAACTCAGGGGACCTCTCTGGTGACGGAGTGGATAAACATTAGTTTGTTTCTTCTCTTGCATACGGTCGTAAGACCTGAATAAGGCAGACGGTTGTAGGGGATAAACAGCTAAGTGTTTCACAGTACACCAATGTACATAAGACCTGAATAAGGCAGTTACTTGGTTGTAGAGAAAGGTGGTATACCACAATTAGAGGTGGGGGAAGTGCCAAGATGCAGCAGTACTAGTGGAGAGGCAGGGCAAAAAGTAATTCATTTGCGGGAGACACCCGTCGACCACAGTTAGTGGTTGTCCAATCAAGAAGAAACCCATTGTATTTGTATATAATTGATTATAATCCTATTGGTCAACAAAAACCTGAGTTAACAGGTTAACGAACCTAAGTGTAACGCCTCGGTGATACAAGACATATCACCACACACCCAAGCTCGGCCGCGTTGCACGTTACAGTTTATAAACATTATTACAGACATTTTAGTGCTTATTCATAATACGTATTCTAATACTTATTCTAATAGGTAATTTACTAAAATTATCATAAAGATTTTCAATGCACCATGCTTTATTTCATACTATCATGGAACTAAACCCCACCCTGGGGACTCTATCTCCAAACCCAGAGGTTAGGCATTTTAAAATGTTAAGGGCTTATTGATTATTATAAGCTTAATCATACTCATGCAAAGTGTTTGACTGCCTATAATTTTCAGAAGTAAAAGAGTTATCTATAGTAACACACTTTCCCTATAATATAATCAATAGACAAACCCCCACCCCAGAACCCTTCACTCTGGGGCCACAAATTTCACAATTTTGAAAGAGGCACCCTTGGTCAACATTACCATACACCTAGTTTATCTGTTTTATTTACAGGGGGAAAGAAGAAGATTTCTAAATAATTTTACATTTTCACTATATGATCAACAAAGCCCCGCCCCAACTCAAGAACCCCTGACCCTGGGGCCATGGATTTCACAATTTTGGTAAAGGGCCCTCTGCTGATTAAAATTATGCCAACAGTTTGACTGCTTGATGTCCAGGAGTAAAGAAGAAGATTTTTAAAGATTGCATTAATTTTAGTGGTTTTGGCCCCACCCCTCAGGCCCCAGGGGGCCAGGGGCCATGAAATTCACAATTTTTGTTCCCCTTCACCCATAGATGCTTTGTGCCAAAACTGGCTAAAATTGGTATAGTAGTTTCAGAGAAGAAGCTGAAAATGTTCAAATGTTAACACACGACACACGACACACGACACACGACGCACGACGGACGACGGACGACGACGGACAGAAACGGATAGCAATAGGTCACCTGAGTTACTCAGGTGACCTAAAAATCTGAAAATCCATTCTGTCAATTTCTTGTCTCGCCATTTGTTTTCAACCTGTACACTTTTTGTGTCTCTTCTACAGAAGAGTTCCTTGCATTGCCAAATAGAGGTAAAATAAGATGTCAGTGTAATTTTATTTTTTTTACTTCACTCAGATGGAAAATCAAAGACTTTAAAGTACATTTTATGTTATTGGTCTTATTAATTTAATTATACCGAGGCTTATACCCTAGAATTAACATGCCCTTCGGGCTTGTAAGTGTACAATTTCCACATGCACGCTTCCAATTTTACCAGGTCCCGGACATTGGACTCCCGGGATTTGTCGAAGACTGGTTATACACTTATCAAATATTTTTTTCCTTCATGGAAGTCTCGATATAAAAGGAGATGCTTACCCTGTGTTGACACCTAATATCAATGTTGGATATAACAGGGGTCAATGTGTTATCCAGTAATAATAAATCTCTTTTTTTATCATGGAATTGTTGATATGCATCACTGTCTGTTATCTTCAACTCTTAATACTCTCCTTAAATCAAGTAAAGAAAATCTTACGCTGCAATAATTATTACCAGCACTATCTCATAAAAACGTTTGCAGGAATACTCTAACCCTTTCAATTGAAGTAGTCGATGAAAAATCCTCCCCTTATTAACATAGGTTATTAATCAAAGCTGAAAAATCAATTTAGAACTAGGTCAATGAAATAATCTTGGTGTTAACTAATTCTGATAACATTGACAGTCAAAATTTAACTGTGCCTTGTCTTTACTCATAAATTATTTTTATTTCAGCCAAAGCCTCTTAACTTCTCAAAAGTTATTATTATGTCTAATCTGTTTTAGAACTCCTAAATGGAAGGGTCAAGCCAGCGTCGGATAATGCATTAAAAATTCATATTTATAAAATCATATTACTGTGCAAAGGTACAGATGTTTTAAATAAATCCATATGAATATAAAATGCAATGACTAACCCTCATCAGACATCTTTGGAATAGCCTAAACCCTAATCAGTAAGAAAAGTGTGTAACAACTACAATCTGGACTTATTGGGGGGAATGAGAGACTAACCCAAAAGCAGTTGAAGAGTGTGCGAGGACTAACTCTAACTCTCTACAGTGGGTTTGAGGAAGACCATTATTATTCAAATGTTTTTCAAGGAAAAACCGTTTCCACATGAATGGTATGCGAGGAATAACTCTTTCATCTCTTGTGGGTAAAAAATATAAGAAATTTCAGTAAATGTGGGGATAAATACTAATGTACTGGCTTCAGAAGTACATTACAAAAGGATCAGAAATTGACATGGATTATTATGAAGGCATAACTGTTCATTGTTTCTCTGCAACATCGAACCTTGACAAATCGGATCATCACAATGATCAGTGACCTGTCACTGGTCAAACAAGTCAGCAGACTTTGGCGTCAATTATGGATTGTTTAGGAGCATCTGACTTAGCCTAGAACTTTATACTTTGACGTGACCATAGGACTTTGGGGTCTTGCATATATTACATACACAAGGCTAAATCCAACAAGAAAAACAATTCCAAATATCTAAATATAGATCAAGTGAGTGACTCCGGTAACATTATATCAGAATTATAATAACTCAGTAGTCTATACACAACAGACGGTCTAGAGCCGTAGGTCCTGGTCAGAATGAAGCAGGGTTCAATTTTACCAGACATCATCAGAATTTTCGCAATCAATATAATCTACTTTCTTTTCCTTTGAAGGGTTTTATAAATTTATATATTATTCTAATTAACATTGTCAGAGCGTCGTTCTGCAGTAAAGTGATTGTATCTATACTACATCTGTGACTCTACTGTTACAAGTACGATCGACTTACGATAGGGAAAGGTAAAGAAATGAAGAAAATTGATTAATACAGTAATACTGGTCAATATAATCGGTTGTTCGGATAAATTTGGATTGAAGATTGAAAAATTATATCTAAGATTAAGAATTTCAATCTATATAATGTTGTAGTATTTGTGCTTATTTTGTAATTACTTTCACGTCTTTAAAGGTACTTGGACACAGATTTGAAGTTAATATTTTCTGTATACTACACAGTAATATGACGAATTATATATTTTATTAGCATTTCACACAAAAATTAATTAAAAACCATATTTCATTTAAAAGTTATTAAAACTTCAAATTTTTTGGCGGATTTGATTGACACATCCCTGCACTTTCACATAAATTTAATTTTATTCTTAATTCTTCAGAAAAATGGCAATCTTGTCGTGTTTTAATTAGACATATTAAAACTTTAATCCAGAAAAATAATTTTATTTGGAGTAGAAATGTTAGAAATCAAAACGCCTTCACAAGTATCGTCATTCCGAGCTAAGTCGTGTGTGCAAATCGATCACACTCGTGTTATGTACACAGTTTTTGTAACAAGGCAGGAGCTCTGTTTTTGTTGATGTTTTGATTTTACCAGGTGCGTTTAATAGTCAAAGTATGCTCACCACAACTGCACGGACTGAGAATATATTGTGTGTTTGTTTTGCTTTCGAACATGTCTATTCTGAATTTTCTGGAATATAGTATTAATACTTTTCACTCATAAACAACAAGATTGCCACTTTTCCTAAGTATTAAGATTAAAAATAAAATTTGTAAAAGTGCAAGGATGTGTCACTATAACACGCCCAAAAATTTTGAAATTTTAATAACTTTTAAACGAAATAAGATTTTTAATTAATTTTTGTTTGAAATGCTATTAAAATATATAATTCGTTATATTATAGAGAAAAAAATTAACTTTAAATCTGTGTCCAAGAACCTTTAAGGTTGTTTGTATTACATAAATCAGTCCCAATATGTTATTCATGTCATTTGATGCACCCTCTCTGTAAAAATTCATCCGCTACAACCATGACGTTTTTCTTGCGTAAACAAATCGTTACCTTATAGTATAATAAATTAAAGATACCATGGGGCCTAAAAAAAAATATGTTTGTTTCCTGTAACCCGACCGACCCATTCAAATTATCCCCGGGTGGATTTTTTTTTTCTGACAAATGGCAAAACTTTGTTTGATCAATCAGCTGATTCCATTTATTAAATAAAAAAAAATTGCTTGTAGCTTAATTTGAGACATAAAATATGTCAACCAAATTTACATTTACCTTAAATATAAAGAGTAATGATTAGTGTAACAACAGTTTCCCCCTACAACTTTCTGAAGTTCGTTTTCTGCCGCTGGCAGCCATTTTGGATGCCATGTTGGGTGTCCACTGTAAATATAACACCTGTTATTTTCAAGCCGGGGAGGTTTCACCATTCATAAGCAAAAACAAAAAAAAAAAAAAAAAAAATTCCGACCTACCGACCCTTGATTTTTTTAGGAATGTTACAGGAAACAAACTTATTTCTTTTTTTTTTAAGCCTGGTCATATTTTCCCATTCAAGCTATTATTCTTTGTGAACATTTCAAAAGAATTTGGTTTACAGCTGTTGCTATTTCTTATTGCGGATGCATCCACTGACACATTCGGTTGCATAAATCTGATTGATCACTAGAAGTCGATAGAGCTTCGCACAACGCCATAGAAATGTGCTACTGTGAATATTTCAATACAATTTCTATTCTACTTACAATTCCATAATTAAAATCATTTCATGATTTTCCTCAAATGCCTCCTTCAGATGAACAATACTGGGGTGATGAAGTTGGCTGATTATCCTTATTTCATTCTTCACCGTGGCCTTATCAACTGGGCAAGGAGTGCTGATAAACCTGGCGAGATACTTCCTTCCACTGTCCTTCTCTATAGACCGATGAACTACACCAAATGCACCGCTACAATACATCAGCATATGTCATATGAATGCTTCTTTCTCCTACCAATAGGCAAGTTTTGTAATACTACTTCATCATTCTAGTTTGATGGCAATTATGACTAGTCTTTGAAATTCTTTCTTACAAAATAAATTATCAACGAGTTCGCCCTGTATGATAATGTGTACATCAAATTATGATTAAGCGAAATTGTATTTCCTTTAAATTTATATACACATCTTGGTATATCTGTTTTGTTTCTGGATATATCTCATGATAAACTGTCAAATATATTGTTATGTAAGTTTAAAAGTGTACTGTGTGAGTGTGTGTAATTGCGGTGGTGAGTGGGTGTAATTTCTTTGCTATGTGTTAACATATATGCATATGGAAAAATAGCTTCAAACTAAACATCAAAAGGCCTGAAGGTCCACAATGGCGCCGCGCTTTAGATATAGCAGTGATACTGTGAAATTATGGGATTTCCAAGCATTTTTAAAAGCATGCATATGTTTACATAATAATATAGCTGTACTTGTACATCTAGATAAACCTAATGGATTTTATTTTAATCACGATTCTACGATAACATCGATGTCCATTTTGGGTTTCAACATTTAACATCGTTTAACATCGCAAACTTACCCGATGAAAGTGGGTGAGTTGGCAACTTTGTATAGGACTGTTCAAGTTGTTTGTTTTTCAAGCAATTTAGGAAATAAGCACAAAAATTGGTAAGTATATTCCTACATTAGATAAAATGATGGTATTGGTTCGAGTACTATATAACTTGAACCAATTCCATCATTTTACACTATATTACTTGGCGCATAAAGAAAGTGGTGAACTGTAAGATATTTTCCTCATAGCCATAAAAAAACTGCCACGTCTAATAACCTATTGCACTTACCGACCAAGTTCCTCAAAAATGTCATAAAATTGGTGCACGCTGACTGCTCTTATACTGGCAAGCTCAGATTTTCTAGAACAATCCTCATCTGAAGAAAAAATTACTGAGTAAATACCAAAACACGTCCTTTTCAATCATTTCACATTACATAGGCATTTTTATATTTACACATTGGGTGAAAACATTACTGTATAATACATTTACATTCTTTTCAAAGACCAGTATAAATTATTCATTAACCGCTTTGCCATTTGCAGATATATAACTTGTTTGATGGGTTCTCATTGGATTTTTAGGAGTGAAATGTATTTCTATGTGCTGCTTTCCATTTAAAAGGGGATATGAATTTATGCCTCTCTTCAACACCTTAACTTTAACAGAATTAAACAGGGCATTTTATAATAATTTGAGATGCAGGTAGGTTTGCCATTACACTTCTGCACTACATTATAAAAATAATTATTTACAATTCCTTACCCGGTTCTCTATCTCCTGGGGACCGAGACAGTTTCTTCAACTCTACATTGGTCAATGTATCAGTTTCCTAAAATTGCATTAGAATAAAGTATATGGAGAACAGAAACAGTAGTCTATATCTAAGTCTGTAAAACGATATATATTAAAAGCAGAGTTTCCGAAAACTATCGGTCCAACCAGCAAAACCGATAGAAAATCGAAATGTCCCATGATATTCGCTACAGTATCGGTCCGTGTGACCGATCAGGGCTCTCGATTCTCTAAAATTGGGGCCGTTCAACGGCCCCGTTCCCAATGCAAAAAAAATACCTTTTTTCCAAAAAGAAAGGTGTAAATTTCCCAATTTTCATAGCAAAATATTAATTAAAAAATAAAAGTCCATGAAACTTAATCGCAAAAAAAAAACCCCAAACAAACGCACTTGAAAATGAAAGTGAAACTGTACCACTATTTTATTAGTTCGCGCCTAATTCATTCGTAAACTGGTTCGGAGAACCAGGTTATTGTTTTTACCGAAATGTGTACTATGAGTTAAGAGTATCTTGTCATGTACATTCGACATAGAAACATCATTTGGGTTTCGAAAAAAGACATTTCTCTTAAATATTAGTAAGCTGCACGTAGAAACATACCCATGCACGCTTCCGCATGATCAGTCTCGCGCTGTATTGGTAATCAACTTTGTCCATGTGATCGAGAAAATTCAGGACAATGTGACTAGCGACTGTCACTCAGAAAGACAGATAACCACAATATCAACACTCAAAGATAGTAATGACAAAGCTAATGTACTTTCATAAATAGCCTACCTACCCATGTTTGATCTGTATTCAAAACCAGAGTTAAATAGATGACAAAATGCTAGAAAAGCAAAATTTGAGGATTTCTTAAAATAAATTTTGGTTATCCAACTTTTCCCGAAAGGATGGTAATTTTCCTAATTTGAACGGCCCCGGCCCTAGTCCCAAAAAGTGGTGTGAGAGCCCTGCCGATTGTGGTGAGGGCTTGTCCTGATTAATTTCTTGTACTCTAATCTAGGCCTATTGCAATATCTTCATATATGAAAAATTTCAATGCAGCCAGCTCCTTTTCTTCGTTAATATCCATTATCTTATCCATCTTGCATTTCTACTTGACTTATTTACTTTCAAAAACGATAGTTTCTTCCTAATCCGAATTTCCTCTATTATTGATAAACACATATATAGGTCATGAGGTGCAATGCCCACTGAGAAAGCGTAAAAATAATTTTTTAAAATTTACCTTCATTTTGAATTTCTACTGCTTCTTCTATATGATTCAAATTTACAAGTGAGAATTAAACTTTAAATTTTAAACAGAATTCTAGAAACCTTGAGAAGTTTTCTTTTTCAAGAATTAACTTTTTTGTAATTAGTTGTTTCTTTCTCACAATATCTACTTGGGGCTAGTGCCTTTATTGCTGCCACAAGCCTGTGTGACCTGGTGCCATGTTTGAATTAATTATAGTTGCATTTTATATTCCTTTTATATCACAATCAGTGTTTGTGAGCCACCATTTTTCTTACATATTCATTGCCATTTTCTTTGAATTACATCTGACATGAGAAATACACTATATATTTTAAAATTCATTCGGAATAATAGAATATGTTTCGGACTGATAGAACACATTAAGTCATCAGTCCGAATGACTGATAGAAAAATTTGGTTTTCGGAAACTCGGTAAAAGCACAGCCAACAAAAAACTTAAAAACATCAGAGGTGGGATCAGGTGCCATGAAGGAGTGAGCATCTCCTACCAACAAGTCACATCCGCCATGTGCTCCTAGTCATGCTGTGGAAATAACGGAATAACCTGTTGTCATTTCAATGTTAAAAATTATGGCCTAACAATAAGCATGACAAACCTCATGGAACTCAATCTTAATATGGTTTTTGCTGTCGAGGTCATTCAATCGACCATATAACTTAGGAAATGATGACTTTCATCAAAGTTGCTGATATTCTTGTTTCATCAATCAACCGCCAATGTCAACATTATCTTTTTAAATGGAAAAGTGTTATGATACATATCCTTGTATATTATGTGAAGTGAAAGACTTAGGAATTAATGGCCAATGTCAGAACACAAATACAAAACCTTCACAACATCATTTCGTACAGTATGGGGGCATACCATTTCTCACCGTTAGTATACCTTACACAGAAGAGGACATTTGACCTCATCAGGATTAATTAATCTCATACCATTCTTGAGAACTATAATAAGGAATTTACAATTGCTTCAGTCCTTATTCAACTTCTTCCTTGAGAATGGATATCTGCGTTAAAGTGCGTTTAATCTGCCGAATTTAAAATCATACATACCATTTCTCTTACTTCTTTCCTTGTCCAATCCGCCATCCTACAACAGCATTATAACAATATATTCATGACCATCTCACTGGTAAATTATCATTGAAAATTCTACATTGATAAACGGTTGTATTCGGAAACATATGAATTGATAATTCAGCTAAATACTGTATACAGGGAAATTTCCCCCCCCCAATTATTTTCGCCCCTTTCGCCCTCTTCCTGATTGGGCTAATTTAAAACGGTGCGAATTCAAATTACACAGCTTAATCTCTTAAACAAAACTACGACTGGGCGAATTTAAAACGGGGCAAAATTGTTAGCAAGTGCACCAGGGCGAAAAATAACACGGGGCGAAAATAACCCTGTATACAGTACCCTATTTCTGTTTCAGAATCTATTTGTAGCATAGAAGAGCTCCAACACATCAAAAACCGATTAACGGCGACAATTGCTTCATCAGAGAGTAAGTTTTTCATCCTAGATTCTATACAAAAATTTCTTTACACAAATTAGAGGTTTACAGCTATATCGGAATTATAGATCATTTTGTGCATTGCCCGTGCGCGGAAATGTTTGTTGACAACGTCATGTGGTCTACATTTATTTCATTTCTATACCTTCTGAATATCAGAGCACTACATCAAATTGTGACATGTTACAGTACCCGCATCGTTATTCTTTACAATTCTATCGTGTTCTATCGTGCGTGTATCCTATCGTATCGTGCGTGTATCCTATCGTATCGTGCGTGTATCCTATCGTATCGTGTTTTCCGTTTATCAGGTTTTGCGTTTTCTATCGTGTTTTCCGTTTATCGTGTTTTGCGTTTATCGTGTAGATCGTTTATCAGGTTCTATCGTGTATCGTGTTTTGCGTTTATCGTGTATATTCGGAAACCCTCGCTTTTTATCTTTACTATGTAAAGAAACTACTGAGCTATTCCGAGTTTCTTTTTCGTTTTGTGAATAAAAATAAGATTAATTCAACCGAAAAAGAGAAAATAAAGATTTTTCCCTTTCTTTTTCATCAATAGAAGAAATATTAAAGAGAAGAAGGAAAAAATAATTAATCGCGTATTTCATGAATGAATAAATTGATTTATTAATAAGTAATTAATTAAATGAATAAAATAATAATATCATGGTAAAGCAGAGAGTAATTGTCAAAATTTAAACAGTAACTCTATTTCTCGGAAATGAAATTATAAGTAAATCGATCACCTGGTCTATTTCTTTAAAAAAATAATTTATCGAATTGTATGATTTATTTTATCAAAATTAAATACTATGAATATGATTTTCTCAAATGAATCGGAGTTACCGGAGAAGGATTTTTCGTAAGCTAAGATGTTCCCGTACACAAAAAGCAAATAAATAAATAATAAGCAGGATATTGAAATGTATCTTTTTTCATGCAATATTCTGTTTTTCCTTGTTTATCGTCTGATAACGTTAGGAATATGTTAACGCGTCTGACCTGCATGTATGCACAATTTTTTAAAGTCTTGATGTAAAAAAGTCTTGATGATAATATAACATAAGACAATGATCCAGATGATTTAAACAACCATTTTGGCCCTATACGTTCAAATTTTAGATTTATTTTTTAAAGCTAATTATAAAATTCCTTGACACATGTCTAAATTAATAAAAGAAATCAAAATTATAAAATATAATGCATGGAAATATTCTACCCAATTTATCACACCATGGCTGTTACTATAAAATAGAAGATTTTCATTAATTTTATCTGGCATTAGATAACATAAAAATAATATAAACATGTACAGGGGAAAACATGAAGTTTTTTTAACAGCTTACCTTTTCGGCGTGGAAATAAATTCAAAATATAATTCAGCGGGATGCCAAAAATCAAAATAAATCGAAGACCTTTCCTTGCAAGAAAACTGACACGTATGTGTAGCTCTCTAATTAGCACACTGTCTTCCTGTGCGGTGAACCACCCCCTCCCACTTCTAGCCTAACTGACACCTCGGCCCGTGTGTGTGATCACCGTCAACATACCTGTACTGATTTCTCACCTGGGGTCAATTAGTAACCTCGAATACTACCTGGTTTTAATGAAACGCATCTACTTATTTACGGGATTTTGTTTCTAACTTGTTTGAATAATTTTATCAAAGATTTAATTCAAAGTATATTAAATAATTGTACAATTTTTGGATTAAAAAATCATCTTGAATGTTAAATAAAAATTCAAATAAATCAGCTTAATGCAATGAAGTCCCTAAACTCACTCCGTTGATTTTTTTCATTTCGTACAATGTTTCCATTATGTTTATGTAAATAAGTCTTTTAATAAACTTAAAAAAATATACTGCACTTATGGTACATGCACTTTCGGGTCATCGGATTTTCTACGTAATACGGACAAAATTAATTCTAGGAAACAATATCATTGATCGTAGAAACGGATGAAATAGTTCTAACACTCTAAACTATGAAACTTAGCTCGCATTATTTTTTTAACGGTATCTTACTATAAAAATAAAACAAAGGGAGTCGTCTGATCCGCCGTGACCATGCAAGGCTAATAAATACACCGAATCAATTTATAGTATTAATGGGTTTTATTCCATACGTATATAACTTTATTTAAGAATTCAATATTATATTTGGCTATTTGGTTAGATTTTGTATATCTAATTTTAAATTGGTTGCGGACTTTCAAAATACAGCCCTTCGAATATGCCTAATATGAGATTACCGGGTCAGTGTAAAATGATTTTAAGGTTTAATAATTCATTTGCCGAATTAAACCCATTTTTCGTTATTATTAGAAACAGTACACACAGAGTTGAATAGCAATGATTTATGATTATTTAGTCGGAAAAGTCGCATTTCACTCTTTTAATATTTGTTAATTAATTTTTCTGTTTTGTATTGTAAAGAAGAAAGTATTTAACCATTCAATGTTCGTAAATAAATACGAGGTTTTAAGTATCTTTAATGTAAAATGTTAACATGTACACAAGTCAGAGCTTAGCGTAAACGTACATGTGCAGTTGTAGCAGATTCAAATTCTCATGACACAGTTTACATGTATTAATGCAGAGCGCCATTATTTTGATAATTATTTAGATTTCTATTCAGGAGATTTAATTATCTTGAACTGTTTCGTTCTTGATAGATCTATCATGTTAAATTTATTAATTTTGTTAAAGCCGTTTTCTTTAAACCTTTCTTTCGGCCGAACTCCTACTTGTATTATTTTCTAAGATATTTAATATTTAATTGCGATTTTTGGATACATCGCAGATTGTAAGCTTTAGACATTAAATCAAATATTTAATTTATCGCGTAAATTTCTTCCGTGAAATAACTTGGTACTTGTAGATAAATTTATTAGATAGAAAATTAAAATGTATATTTTTCATAAATAATAAATCTGTTTATAGAGTTTCAAAATTCACACCCTTGAGAAGAAATAAAAAAAATACAGTCTCCATTTCATGAAAATCCATTTAATCACTGTCAATTTTTATATATATAAATAAACAACTTTTGTAAAATTAATACAGAGATCTCAGGTTCTTTTATAATAATTAAATGTACTTTATAGTTTAGATTTGAAGCTCTGCAAGTATTTAAATTAAAATATAATTTAATTTAAATAATCTTTCATCTTTTAATTTAATTCAAAATAATCTTTTCGTCTTGTCAGAAAGCGTTCCGCATTTTGAAACAATCCTATCAGGTTTTGCGTTTATCCTATCGTGAAGATCGTTTATCAGGTCTATCGTGTTTTGCGTTTATCGTGTTTTGCGTGTATCGTGTTTTGCGTTTATCGTGTTTTGCGTTTATCCTATCGTGCGTGTATCCTGTCCTATCGTGCGTGTATCCTATCGTATCGTGCGTGTATCCTATCGTATCGTGCGTGTATCCTATCTTATCGTGTATCCTGTAAAGAATAACGATGCGGGTACTGTAGGCTTTTTCAAGTATAATCAATCATTTCAATACTTGCACGTACAATGTGGAAATCACTACAGCAAAAAATTACCTTCCATCAGTTTACAAAAATCTACATAAAAGGTCTACTGACTCTTACTGTTTCAACTCATTTGTCCGAGTAGTTTCAGATACTTCAATTACGTCAAATTATTGACTGCAAATAGTGCTGATATCTATAAGATATATTTTTAACCCTGTGTGAACAATTATTTTGTTTCATTATCTACAGTGGTAACATAATCTACAAAGATATCCTAATTTAGCATTGCCAGCAAAAGACATGAAACTTGCATATTACCTTGAATCTATGACAAGCACGAATACAAAAGGTAAAAAATGTCAACCAGACACGTGCGCCTTTCTTTGGAGGAGTCCTTTGGCAGGCGGGGAGACGAGAGAGAAAAAAAAATATACACAACTTTACCTACATATCTGCTCTCATTCTCTTTAGAAACTTACTCTCTTGAAGCCCGCTAACTTCCAACAAAACTTTGAACAAAACCTGTTCATCACCTGAGCACCCTAATATGCATGCTCGTACTCCCGCCAGGTTTTTCCCCTTCTAAGCAGGGATGACGTAACTACATATTCCTACGCTTTCGGCTTCTGAACACCATACGGTACATGGTCAATAAGATTTCACTTATAACTTATAAGCCATTTCAGCTACGCCTCTTCTTTAGAATACCATAACATTCAAGCTCCTACATTTTAATTCTATCTGAAAATATCGGAGGTCTACTTCTTATCAGGCATCGAAAAAGGTGTTATTCGGATCAGGTAACACTACTGAATTAAATAACCCCTTAGATTCCAAAAAATCCCCTGTTGTCCCCCTGTCAGTCCCTGACATTTACCTGTGTCTCCCAGACTTTCTCCTATGATCCCCTGTCGTTGTCCCTGCTCTCCCTGTCTAGTCCGTGTCATCCCCTGTCGTTGTCCCTGCCTTCCCTGTCTACTCCCTGTCGTCCCCTGACATTCTCTGATCTCCCTGTCCAGTCCCTGTCGTCCCCTGTCGTTGTCCCTGCCCTCCCTGTCTACCCCCTGTCGTCCCCTGACATTTATTTTGGC